GTCAGAGGTGGGCAGTAGCACAGTGGAGAAGAGAGAGGTTAAAGTGGCGAAGGTCTCTATGGATAATTGTTAGACGGTTGGAGGGAGATGTGGTGGAAGACAGGGAAAGAGTGAAACTAATAAGGTGGTGATCAGAGAAAGGAAGAGGATTTTTTAAGAGGTTGGACAGAGTGCATAGGTAGGAGAATGCAATGTGAAGGGTGCTGCCTTCATAGTGAGTAGGAGCATGTACCCAATGCTTAAGGTCAAATGAGGAGGTTAGACTAAAATGTTTAGAAGTAGCAGGAGTGTTAGTATTAACAGGGATGTTGAAGTCACCGAGAATGATTATGGGAATTTCTCTGCCAGGCAGAGAAGTCATCAAGGAAAGTTGATAATAAAGGAAACAGAGTTTGAGGAGAGAGGATACAATTGTGAAAAAGAAAGATCGAGAGTGCATGTTACAGAGAGGAAGGAGAGATGAATGGGGGAAAACGAGGTCACCTGCAGTCTGGTGTTTTGCAAAGTAGCTTGCCATAGATTTTCGCTTTGTGCAATCTCTGAAGTGCAAGAGTGGAAGCACCACTTAATTAACGAACCCCACTTAATTGGAAGAACCCCAACATGCACAACCTGGCATGTTCCCTCAGGCATGTGCCTCCCCCATAAAGGTGATCTAGATTTATACTGTTGTGGGTGGCTGTGGAGATTGCCAATGAATCAATCAGAAGTTAATTTAAGGCACATAGCTAGCAGAGCAACCTTTTCAAACCACAATCAAACTGCGAGAGGACCAAGAGGGTAGGGTTGTAAAGATTAAGATTAAGATCAGTCATAATTTCGGTAAGAAACGTAAAGACAAAATAAACAACATAATAATGTGAACAGGGCTACAGATGGATATGAAGCAGGAGTGACATAAATGCAGGTTTACCATACAGACACTGAGAGATGTCAGTCTGTATTCAGTTTAAGGTGGATTTACATGCATTTAGCCACATTTACCATTTCTAATCAGATCCTGAAAGTACAGAATGTGATTTTCTCTAAATGCAGATAAACTGACCGAATCTAAATGCAAGTAAAGGTACAGTGAGAATGGAACTAATGAAAAATACCCTCTAAATGCATATAACAGCAGTTTTGGCAGTGCCACCCAGTGTGAATGAGGCCTTATACACAGCAGACATATCACAGATATGCACCAACATATCCAACAAGTTGGACAGTCAAATACCAGCACTGACTTCATTTATACAGTTATATATGCTAGCCAATATACTGTACACTTATTCTACAGTCAGTGTGAATGAGGCCTTATACACAGCAGACATATCACAGATATGCACCAACATATCCAACAAGTTGGACAGTCAAATACCAGCACTGACTTCATTTATACAGTTATATATGCTAGCCAATATACTGTACACTTATTCTAAGGTGGTCTCTCACTGCCTGTCTGGTTCTATTTCCTTTGTGCACTCTTCTTCCTCCTTTCTCATGCAGGCAATGTTTCTAACAGACTCTCCATGGGGCAAACCCACATCCAAAAGACAATATAGTTAGTTTTTAAAAAAACATTTTTGAAATCATTGAAAAACTTGTTTCAGTCATCACCACAGCATCTAATACATTTGATCTGCAAGACTTCTTCAGGAACATATATATACTGAAATTGTATGGTTGCACCAAACTTTTTTGTAACAGTTTTTTTTTTTTAACTGTAAACGTTTTTTTAATTGCAAATTTAATATTGAAACTAGGCTAATCACTGGGGTGAGGATTAAAATTAATGGCTAAGTTTAGGGATTGGTTTGTGGCTGAAGGTTAAGGTTTGACTTAGGTTCCAGTGCTAGGTTTAGATCTAGGCATTGTTTTTGGGCTAGGTGTATGGATACCTTGAATGTGTAGTTTAGGGCTATTGGTTAGGTAATAATTAGGATTAAGTGTTTGGGGTAAGAACTGTGAGAGTTTTTGTTATGTTAGTGTTAGGTTTCTGGGAATGATTGTTAATATCAGATACATACTAGTAACAAAGGCTTAATCATGTTCAGTTTTTTTGGTGATGACACTTAGGTGCCCAGTTATAAAGGAGCCTTTTGGCTTTACTGCTGCTTTAAAAAAAACACACTGCTTTAAAAAAAAACACAGTAATGCATGACTTTTAAATGTGCTGAATCCCAAAGCAAGAAAAATACTATTCATTTCACGTAACAGAAAGCTTGGTCACATTGTCATTCTTTGAACTCCTTGAGGGATACTATAGGCTCCATGTAGCAACCTGCATTTTTTGAATGGCACGTAAAATGCAGGCACGATGTGGAGTCAGCAGAGAATAGATTGCAATATCCACTCTGTATTATGAATGACACAACACTAAAAGCTCTGTAAATTGTCTGGAGTTGTCTTTAATACTCAAAAATATTTATTGCTCAAATCCTTTTAGTAAGATACAATTGTTGAGCACTGTTGCTATATACCACTCAGCACTTTTTTTTAAAAAAGGTTTTTATTTTTGCTTTTTTATAAAAACAAAATATTCAGTACAATACAATAACAGACCATACAATATTGCACTGTTGCATTATTGTAGCACTAGCTCCCAATCACCCTTGAAGGAGCAACAACATAAAGACAGACATGCCACTACTGTACATTCAACACATTCACTAAGTGAACTCATCCTCTTTCAATGCGTAGCCTCCCTAGTGGTCTAATTATGTCAGTATTTCTGTGCTCAAAGCGGTACATTTTTTTCATGGAAATATGTAGTTTTTTTTATTGTAGGCCTGTAATTTTTTAGGAATAACTCACTGAAATCTGTCCGAACAAGAGTATAAACAAAATAATCATAAAAATAATAATAAATTTAATTCAATAATATAATTAAACCAAAAACACTGAAATATGAATTATTCGCACATCACTGAGCAAAGTCGCAAAATTGTTTTCAGTGTCTGATGACGAATTTCCCCACAAATCATTATCACTCAATTCTGCAGGTAGTTCTAATTTACTATCGCTGTTCTCTAGCTGGTGTTAAACCACTTTTGATCTTTTGATGCTTTTTGGATGCCATGGACATTTCTCAGTTTCAAGGCAGAAAGAACAGTAAAAATGCAGGCAGGGCACAGGACAAAGCACTAGGGACATAATGTATGTGAAATGGTTTGATACAGTAATGTTTTACTATGTGATTTTTAGTGTATTTAGTGAATGTCACTTTTTGACATTTTTAAATTTCCCGCCAGTTCTGTCCCCGTACATCCTGACGTCGCAGGGAACGGAACCCGGAAGATAGATGCCGGCATCGACCAGAGGAGATGGCCGGGGACGCTGCAGGGGGGACATCGCAGGAGCGCAGGTCAAGGTAAATGCAGAAGAGATCCCGGAGCAGCGCTGCAAGGTATTCCCGAGTTTAGCTAGGGGTTACCACTTGTGGTGCTGAAACTTTACCCCGAGCTACACTCGGGAATACTCCAGGGGAGTTAAAGGATAAGTTCACCTTTTAGACAAAAATAATAAATTCACATTTTTGTGCAGGTAAAAAAATGTGCATTTACTATTTTTGTTTACAGGAGCCTGGAAAGCATTGCACCAGTGATCAGTAGACCTCTGATGTCATGCAGGTCTCCTGCAGACCTCTCAGTATATCTGCTTGCCGTATGGGATGTATGAGCAAGCAGATATTCTGACAGGAAGCTTCAATGAACTACCATGGTGCTGTGGAGTTCATTGAAAAAACTACAAGCCGACAGCCACTAAGGCTTTCAGGACTTGCATTGCATTCCTTCATGGAAGTCTGTTTTCAAATTTGACAGATAGTACGGGGAGAAATCTCCTCATAATATCTCTCAGACAGAGGGGGGTGGGGTGCGGCAGGTGGCGTCTGCAGATATGGGAACATGTTACATGTTCCACACTTAAAAACGGGTGGAACATATAACATGTTCCCAAAGGTAACCTTATCCTTTAATCTTATGACAAAGAAAGATGGCCTAAACTCAACACAGGGTTGCTTATTAAAAGATCTTGTAAACCCTGATCTGCAAACAGAACACGTGGAACAGATATAGTCCAGGTGAAGACATCTGGGAAACGGTATGAGTTTATAGTCCCATGTTTATAAGCCTAGTTTAGTTATAATATAGCCTAGAACTGTACATAACATGTGGAAGTCAATAATAAATAAAATTGCATTTTGTTTGATATATAAAAAACAAAGTAATATTTTTTTTTCTTTATTAAATATCTATTTTCCTCTTTCTGTTATGTAATTTCACGCATCCCTTGAAGGATTAGGTTGATTTGATCTCTGAAATATCATACCAATCCATGTATGTTCCTTTAATTTTCTAGCCATAAAGCATTTTGTGGAAATATAATGTATTTCTTTAGAGAAATCCTCTCAATCCAACCAAGAAAACAGACTGAGGCCTGTCTTATCTGTGAAGTACCATAATGCTCTTTCTCTTAAGAAACCAAAACTCTTTGTGAAAAAATCTGTATACTGTATAACTATAGCACGTGTTATGGCTTGTTTTTGGTATTTGTTTTGTGTATTATGTGAAAAAACTAGAACAAAAGTTGTAAGATACTGCATTCATGTTTTTATTTTCTTTCACATTTTCCGATATTTTTAAATTTAAGCTTGGCTATGTTAGTATATTGCAAAGGACGAAAATGATCAGGTGTTATGTTATTTCTATACTTAATAAAATCTGATTTAGTATTTTAAAATAGTTATAATAAGTGTGTGGTGAAGGTGTACATATGGTGAAGAGCACCTATTTTCACCAGTGTTAACTAGCTGTTGTGAAATTTGTGAACTTTAACAGAGAATACTACTATTTACTACTACTACTACTTCTTGCAGTCAAATATATTTATGACAAAGATACAGCTACCTCACTGTTAATGGCAGATGCTGTTCACATCTACCCCCGACCAGTGAGCTGTATGTGCAGTTTATTGAATAAAAAAAAAATCTGCTTGCTGCATCATTATTGTGGTTTCCAGAAAAACATGTTTGGTTGAGATGCATCAATGGTAATGCACGTAAAACATACCCACAGCCAGGGGCGTACTGACAACTCATGGGCCCCCTGGGCAATAGGGGATCATGGGGCCCTTGTGTCCCCACCCACACTCAAACCACACCCAAAAAAGCCTATGAAAGGTACTAGGAGCATCTCATGGGGCCCCCTACTGACCCTGGGCCCTCGAGCAGTGCCCGAGTGCACGAATGGTCAGTCTGCCCCTGCCCACAGCATGCCACATGTTCAACACACAAATGCTTCATTCCAATTCATTATTAAAAGGCAGACTTTTTCTTATCATTGTGCTTTCATTTACCTTTTATTGTGTGATCTTTGGTTAGCATCTGCCTCCTTCTTCAATCCTCACCTATGCAAAGGTGACTGTCAGCTTACCCCTACAATTTTCTGGGATACTCATATCACATATTTCCAGGGGACATCAGGCTCAGCACTTGGAAGTGGATGGAAGTCTCACGCAATCTCATCCTGGCGATAACACTGACTTTGCCAACACCATGGCAACATATAAAATGTAAATATTCTAGCATCCAATCTTGCTCTGCGCATGCAAGCAAGAAATAGCAAGAAACAACCAGCTTCCAAAAACTTAGTAAAGGAATACAACAGTGCAACACCAGGTGTGTAGCAGCAGAACAATGCATTAGGAAAAACCATATTGGATCTGTAAGAAGGTTTATTGAGGATTTCACAGCAGAAAGGTAAAGGGGAATTTACTTATTAACATTTATTTCACTGAAGGATATGCAAGAACTGCTTGAGTAAGCTTGAGTGATTGTTGATACCAGGCTACTTTTGTGTAATTTCCTCATACTAATGGACAGTTGAATCTCTTGTTTGGCCCTGGAATAGATGGTGTTCAGTGTGGGGATATCCACTATATGGCAACAGATTTGTTGACACCTGACCATCACACCTGTATAAGCTTGTTGGACATCCTATTACAAAACAATGGGCATAAATAAAGAGACCTCCATCTTCAGTTATATAACTCATCTGGGAGATCGTTCCACATTGTTGTGGAGTCTGTCTTGTGAGGTTAGGTACTGATGTTGAACAAGAAGACCTGGTTTGAAATAAGTGTTCCAGTTCAAATGTGCACTATGGTTAAGGTTATGGTCCTTGGCAGGCCACTTGAGTTCCTCCACACCAAACTAATCAATCCATGTCTTTATGAACCTGGCTTTGTGGCAGGGGGAAAGTCATGCTGGAACAGAAAAGGACCTTCTCCAAAGTATACCACAAAGTTGAAAGCACACATTGTCTAGAACGTGCATGTATGCATTAGTATTACCACTACAGTATACTTTATTAAAAATACAGCTGTCTAAAATGTCTTTGTATGCTGTATCTTTAATAATACCCTTCATTATGAACACGAGCTCAATATCTTGGAAAGGGGTGTCTACATACTTTTGGCTGTATAGTGTTAGAGTGATGGCCAGGCGTTTGCAAACTATAGCCCATGTACATTTTTTTTTTTTTTAATTACCATTAAAGGAAATTCTGATCTAATTTTTTCAGTAATTTCTGAGGCAGAACAGATTGGCTGACCAGGAGTTCATACATACCACATAGCTGTCCCAGTCTAAGTCCCAGTCTGCTTGTTCACCAGGGCCCCTGATGGTGGGGATGGACTTGGAGCCAACAGTGACCAGATCGTGGCCCCTGAGTACACCCGCCTGTGGTAGAGGGATCCGCCAGAGGTATACACTGGTAGAGAGCCTGACGTGAAGAGGCAGATAGGCCTGAGCAGTGGTGACCGGATCCGTGCAGGATGTATGGATGGCAGGGTAGCAAGCGTGGTCAGACAGGCCGGGTCGGTTACAGTGGGGACAGCGTGGTTCAAGGCAGTAGGCAAAGAGTTGTCAGGTCACTCGCCGGGTTTGGTAACAGGAGTTCAGATCAATAGGGATATCCAGGAGAGTAGTCAAACGAGCCAGGGATCAGAGCAAGAGATTGTCAGCAAAGGTCAGGATCAAGCAGGGTCGGCAACAAATCAATAAACAGGTACACAGGAGCAGGAACAGGGTAATAAGACCATACGGCAACTAGTGTCTGTGCAGTGCAGGTTTAAATAGTGCGCCCTGCGCTGTCATTGGTGGCAGGCACGTGTCCACGATTGCGAGTGCGCATGCGCAACCACCGCCATAGCTGCCTAGGTCCTAGCGCCTGCCGATTAGAGCGCACTGGCGTTCTGCGCATGCACAGACCTGTGCCCCGCCGTGATTGCTGACACTTACCTTAAAATGCAGCCCTCTAGCAGTGAGCTGTCACCCCTGACAGGGCTTCCATCTATACCTGGTCTGCATTCCAGTTTCACAGACCCTGGCAGCTTAACTGTCTGAGCCACCATAACAATGATGACGATGATGGGAATCACGGCCATTGCACAGAGCTCTAAAGGGACGGCATGATGTTCCTTCAGAGCTCATGCGCCGGTAACATCACCGGCTGTTGCTCACTGGAATATCTCCTAAATGGTGCAAATTTAGGAGATATTCATTTTACCTACAGGTAAGCTTTACTATAAGCTTACCTGTAAGTAAAAGTAACAGAAACATGTTAACTACCACTTTAAATTAAAAACTTTATTTTTCTTGTAATGTAATGTAATTAGTTACTCATATCATATTGGGAGGCTTACATTTCGTTTATAATTCCATTTCCTTGGTGTTACTGCAAATTAGTTTTAAAACAAACAATGCCAAGAACTACAGCTAGATGCCACAGTGAGAGGCTGCAAATGGGCCTCCATCAAACCTCTCTGGGCAAAAATAGTTGACTTGATGTTGAACTTTAAATCAAAGCAGTCTCCACTCATCTTATCATTCAGGAAAATGGTCGTCCATTTTGGATTTTTAAAGCCAGTAGCTATTGAAGGGTAGACCTTGGATTATCTGCTCAGACACAGTCACATTATGATCTGACAAGAAAAAAATGACTTTTGGGCCACTGGATTGCGCTTCCACATCTCACTAACATTTCCTCCCTGTGGCTAGTTTTAGCTTATTTTCCTAATGGACAGCCAGCACTAAAGTTGGCCATACATAGATCAAAATTCAGCTGGTTCAACAGGAAGCTACCAGAGTAACCATCACCCTGCATGAAGTCACCAATTCCCTGGCTGGTTTGCAACGATACATGTAAGGTTGTCCCTAGCAATGGCAATATAGCCTACACTAGACAACAAACTACATGCTAAACTACAATGTACTATTGGTCCTAAAGATTCCTCCAGTGCTTCTGACATCACCTATTCAACAGTGGAGACTTCACAGAAGGTCACAGTCTGCCTCTTTTGAAAGTGAGTAAGCTACCACCTACCACCAAATACAGCTGTAGTGAGGACTATTGAGCCCATCAGTAGTGCTGAAAGAACACTTCATAAGAGGACCCGATTGGCTGTCCTACGTATCATGTTGGTTGACATCTCTGCATCCTTATGCAGAGATGTCAACCAACATGATACGCAGGACAGCCAATCAGTTCCTCTTATGAAGTGTTCTTTCAGCACTACAGATGGGCTCAAGGGCTGATGATGTTCTGATGGGCCCATGATGTTCTGATGCTGCTGGTCGAACATGCAGCAATTACTTCTGGTGGCTGCAGCCCAGCCATATCTTGGACCTTTAGAATTTACTTTAGAAACCACCAGGCAGTTTGCTGGAGCCTTCTACCATTGTTGGTTTTAAGGAACTAGGTATAACCAGGGGCGGACTGACAACTCATGGGGCCCCCGGGCAATAGGAGATCATGGGGCCCCTGTGTCCTTGCCCAAACTCAAAAAAGCCTATGAAAAAGGTACCAGGGGCGTCTCAAGGGGCCCCCTACTGGCCCCGGGCCCTCGGGCAGGGCCTGAGTTTCCAAATGGTCGGTCCGCCCCTAGGTATAACTGTTATGTCTAGCTAAATGACTGTTTGCAAGTGTGCTATCTTTGATCTGGGTGTATTGAAGGAGTACTTCACCTAAAGCATGTCAAAGCAATCCCACTGTGGGATAGGCAAACAAATATCTACAGACTCTTGATGTAACAACACAGCAAAGCTGTCAACTGCTTGCAGCTCAGGGGTTCTTATACTAGAAGCTGGCTACAGATGAGTCCAAATGTTCACCTGTTAGAAAAGCAACTGAGCACCATCTGTGACACCCTCCCCATCTGCAACCACATCCAAGTGCCCAAGGACACGTCCCTGGAGCACAAACCCCTCTTCAGGGGGGCACACCCCAAAAGCCCACTCCAAAAACCAAGACACCAGCGCAGATGAATAAAGAATCACAGAAAGCACCCAACCACTCCTGCTGCAAATGCACCAATACAGTTACAATCACCTCAAGCATTTGATAGAACATACAGAAAGTGAGGATAGAAGCCTAGATGACAGCCTTGCCAATCTGAGGAACCATCGTCTGAAGCCAAAAGCTCAGGAAGCACTCATAGATTTAGTAAAGTGCATCTTTCATGAAGGCATGAAGATGGAGAACTGGGTCCCAACAACCTTGTCATATGCAAAACCCTTGAAGGGTTCAATGCCAGATAAAGCCACCAGTCCAGTCAAATCCTACAATGTCACACTGGCAGCAACATTAAAAGTCATATGTTGACCTAGGCCCAGCTTCAGGAAAGGACTTGTCCAATGAGGAAACTCCTGGGGAGAAAGTCCTGAGGTCTACACCAAGATAAGCAAGGATTCCTGGACTATACAATGCCCTGTCTCTTAGAACTTGAGCTTCAATTCATCAAGCTGTCAAAGTCAGCTTAAAGCTGGATGGCAAAAAACATTCCTTGGGAACAGATGCACCTGATCTAGTAGATCCCTTCAGAGCAACTGTTTAGCTTCCCTTTAGGTTGGCATACCACATCAGCCTGGAACACCGGAATTACTTTCATTCTGAATATGCAAGACAAATGAGGGAAGCAATAGGTCAGGAAGTACTGATCCGATGGAGTCACCAGAGCATCTACTACATCCAGCAGAGGGCCACTGTGCCTGAGCCAAAACTATCTAGCCTTTAATTTGACCTCAGGTCCATGGAGCCAACCTCTGAAGTTGCTTACCTGTGACACACCTCCAGGAATAGCTCCAATTGGAATCACTCTCAGGTTTAGGTGCTGCTGTTTAATGCAGTCTGCCTGTCACTGTGTATTTGGCAAGGCTGAAGCCTGATATTTTGCCAAGGATACCAACTTTTGTGTTGCTGCAAAATTCTGGAACCACCTGACAATTTATGTACGCCACCTTTATGGCATGTTTTGCTTAAATTCGGACTGTATACCCTTCCATTAAGGGGGATAATACTTCAGGGATAGTCAAACTGTCCAGAACACCTGGATGTTATTTTGGGAGTTGATATGCCAAAGACAAGCAAGTTTCTTGTAATCAAAGGTGTCCACATTTCTTCCCCAGTCTGACTGACTGGTATTTCTTAAACAGGAAGGGAGGACTCCCTTCCTCCAGAGCCAAATCCCTGAGCCACAGCGATTGGTGAATCACCTGTCCAAAGATCAAATCAACATTTCCCTTAAAGAATAAACTCCTGTAAAGGCCTGGGTTGAAACTAAGACAAAGAAACTGCCTCACTTGAGGATACCCCCTGTTTTAAGACTATTTCAAAAGTGGATAGCCAAATTGCTCCAGCTTCAGAGATCTTGAATGTGAGACCAAAATGTGACCAGATATCAATGAGGAAAAGCTCTCTGTTCTGAGCTGTGTGTGGGACCATTCAGATAATCCTAAAGTGAGTGAGTTCCAATGATTATCTCTGAAGGTTCTGAACCCATCCAAGTTACTGAAATATCTGGAGGACCATGTCAATTGTTCCCTGAACAGGAGGTTATCTAGTTATCCCACCATGAGAATGTTTCAGGAAGGCAATAAGACTTGCAATTGGTCCAGCAACCAATACAGAGGTGCTGATGAGAGGGTGAGTGGCAGGACCCCATAGTGGTAGTGAATACAGGTTACTCTCTCCGACCAAGGAAATTCTGTAGCAAGTTTCTTACCTTGAACCCTCTGGCCCCTCTGGTTCTTCTCCACTCATGGTAAACTTATTTGCCTTAAAATAAATAATGGCCTTAAAAAAAAGAATGGCCTAGCAGGGGTAAAGTCTCAAACTGAACATGAAGTACCAGATTATCCTTTCTGCCCTTCCTGGCAACAAAAAACTGGCTTACTCCCTGCTATGCATTTAGTAGCAACAGTATTGTAATGCAGCTTGAGTTATCCGCAATATCTTGGCTATAGTAACTTCACCCAGGGATCACAGTAATTCTTTGCAGCTATGAATAGTGGGCAGAAGAGCTTCTGTCTACATCTTTAAGGCAGTCTTGATACACTATTTATCTTGTAAGACAGCATCACCCAGGGTTCACGACAATTCTTTGCAGCTACACATAGCGGGCAGGAGAGCTTCGTTATCTTGTAAAGGTAGCTTCACACAGGGATCACATTAGCTTTTGTGGATAAGCATGTTGGGCAGGAGATCTTTTGTCTTAAGGCCATAGTGCTTTGGTTTGCAGACTGGAAGAGGATTTTCTATACCCCCCACTGGACCTGTGGTGCTCCTGCCATGTATATTGCTGTCGGTAGGACAGGATGGGCTTCTGAGCTAAGGAAGAGGCCTGTTAGCAACTGAATGTGCTCTTTTAGTAGAAAATACCTACCTAGTCTGATGACCCTTACCTACAGGAACTGTGTGGATCATTGTTATACAGTGAGCTCATAGTGCAGGGGACAGCTGCAATACTGACATTTAGTGAAGTATAGATAATAATAATAATAATAATAATATAACACTGAGACATGAGCAAGGGCATATATATGCATTGGTTAACAGGAAAAGGCCTTTGATGCAGGGTCTTGTGGCTATGGACAAGCTGGCATGCAATCCTAGCCCTATCTGTAAGCCACTGGCTCTTTAAATCCATTTTCCTCCACTCTTCTGCCGCCTCCAACTCCTGGCAATCTGCTCACTTCACCCATTTCCAAGATGGCTCCTGGGTAGGTCTTCCAAGAACAAAGATGGCCACTTGTGCAATGCTTGCCCAAACTCAAGATGGCCCCCATGTGAAATCTATCTACTTCATATGTTTAACATGCATCATTCCCTTTAATGTAGACACTCCACTTTTCCTTCCACAATGGCCACTAGAATGCACATTGGAACATGAGAGATGTAATGCACAATTGATGAAGGCATTCACAAATACATTCCAAAAAAATGAGAACGCATACTTGTCTTGGAAATGGAATGCCACAGCTCCATGGACCCATTTACTTCATGGCAGGCATTCTCCAGAGAAGAATATCACTTCTGAGGAAAATAGCTGTATGAATGGCTAGTTAGCACCCAATTTTTCACCCCAAACAATCTACAGAAGGGGTTCCCTGCCCTATCAAAGCCTTTAGGTCAAGGACTGTGCTACAGTAGAGGCTGAACCTGCAAGATAAACCACCAAAAGTGGAAGGTAAGGGTTTCTTCTTTTCACACTGGCTGTGAGTTCCACGAGGACAAAAATAAGAATGGGTTGCTGTGTGCGCATTAACTCTTTATAGCTTATAGCTGGTCCTGTGGGCAGAGGTAGGAGGGGCTACTACCACATGTATGCTGCCATGTTGGCACCAGGAAAAAAATGTTTGCTATAGATATTATTAAATCTAGAGTAAGATAAAAAGCTTGATAGTTCTTAAAAATGAAAAAGCTATTTCTCTCTGACTTCTAAATGATTTTTGGATAAATTCTTGGATCAACATTTTATTATGTTTTTAAATCTTCAAGCAACATTATTGTTCATTTAGAAATTATCCAACACTGTTTTGAAATAATGCACAATAACGGCTAGTAGCCAAGCTCTTGAGAAGATTATTTAAACCTCTTTTTTTCTCAGCTGCAAGGGTTCCCCACATCTCATCTTTTCTAGTAACCTTAAAGCACTCTACTGAATTTTATATATTGGTTATTTCTGCATTCCCTCAAATGTCTTTTGTCAAGGTCAAATAAATTCAGCTTTAGCGTTTCCTTGTAACTCAGGTATTCCATGCACCTTATTATTTAGTAGCTTTTCTCTGAACTCTTTCCAGCTCAAGCACTTGCTTGTTGTGGACGAGAGCCCAAAACTTAACTGTATATTCAAGATATGTCAGTACTAATACTTTGTATGCAGGCAAAATAATGGCTCTGTATTGTATTGTGACTATTTGGCTGCTAATATATCGTACCATTAATGAAAATATATTGCTTTCTTCAGAAGCATTTTAAAACCACAAATACAAAGGTTAGCGATTATCTACAATGAAGATTATTTTTTATGTAGCACCCTAATCATGCTTTGAACCTAGTTCAGCCTATACATTGGAGACATCTTCAATGGACTTTTCAACACTGCATCATTCTTTACAGATTCTGGTCCCTAAGAACCAATAGGCTGTGTTTTGAGAGTGTATCTCAGATGAAATATGGCAAGCTATACTGGATAAATAATTTGTACAATTGTAAAGAACTCCTGAAAACTTGACCACTTGATCATACCTAATAATATGAGAAATATTAAATTACATAGCTTCCTCTATGATATGTCAGATTTAGCTGTTACAGTGTTACCTCTTTTGACAGTACGCTATCTACATTTTTATGGATACTTTTACTTAGTTATAGGTAAAGCATTAACATGGTATACTCCTTACGGAACAGAAAATAATAGTACATTTTTTATAGGTCTGAATTTCATAAAAATCCCAGTACTACAACTGTCTCTTCAACTTATAAAATCTCAGTTAATGCTAATGATGCTGAACTTTGGAGAAAGTATAACAAGTTGTGCATTTGAAGTTGGCTCTGGCAAATGTCCCCAGACCTATTAAATACTGCAGTCCTGCAGGTGCTATACTTCATAATGACCTTGATATCTGACAGAGTTGAAGACA